AGTTTAGGAATATTTTCCTTTTTAATAATTAAAACATAACAAAATATAAAAATAAAAAATAATTACATTAGTTAGTAGGGGTTATTGGTTCTAGTATTTTAATGGATTTAGTGGATTTAGAAATATTTTTTGGATTTAGAAATTTTTGATAAATTCATTGATTTGAAAATCAAACAACCAGATTTGAGAATCAAAGAAATAGATTTCAAAATCAAAATAAGTGGATTATTATAAATCAGTTAAACAGATTTTCACTAAGTTCATACTACAACTTAGAAAAAATAATAAAAACTACAAAACATGTTTTATCATTTTGTATATTTTATATTATCCTGATAATATAAAATCAGTCCACATGTTAGTTGCTATTGTCCCTCTCACTTGATTGGCATGTTCTCTTTGTTGATCTTGAGTTACAAAAATTTCTTCACCATCATTATTGACTTGTTCAAGATCTTCTTCGTCATCTGAATCTTTTTCTTCAGGAAAATTATCTGTTCGGCAGAACTTTCGAAGAAAATTATGTAAACCAGCACAAGCAAGCACAATCTCTGTTTGTGTCTTATAAGGGAAAGGGGGTGCCGACTTAAAAATCAGAAATCGGGATTTGAATATACCGAAAATTCTCTCGATGACATTCCTCAAAGAAGCATGACGATGATTAAACAACTCTTTATCATTTCGTGGAGTAGAATCTTGTCCAGAAAACTCTTGTAGATGATATCGAACACCACGATATGGAGCCAAGAAGTTGCGGCGATTTGCAAAACCACAATCAACCAGATAAAATTTTCCTGATATTAAAGAATAATTAGTTATTTGGGAAAAATATCAAGGTTTAACAAATATAAATACATAATATATATATATATATATATGTACCTTCTGGAACTGGTAATCGACTTGTGCTCCTTGTTAAAGCATCATTTAATATTTATGAATCATGAGCTGAACCCTCCCATCCACTAAGTACGTATATGAACTCAAGATCAAAATTACATGCAGCCAACACATTTTGTGATATATCACCTTTTCTGTTGCGGAAAGAAGCCGCTTCTTTTTTTTGTACCATTGCAAATATATGTGTACCATCGATAGCTCCAACACAATCCTAAACATATTAAATATTATGACTAAAATAATATTAATAAAATCATATATCAAAAATATAAATATAAATACCTTAAAATATGGATAAAATCTTGTATTTTCTCTAATCTTTTGAGGTACTCCAGGTCCAGCGGTGGCCATGAGACTTGGTGAAATTTGGTTTAAAGCTCTTAAAACTTTGTGAAAATTCTCACTTATAGCAAATTTGGATCTTTTAAAAGTATCTCTGGTATAGCAATACCTTGCATTTTGACCAACGGTTAAGAGGAAAGATGCAACCATTTCTTCAAGGCTAATATATCTTGTATCAGTTAGCTCTGTCATCTCTCTGATGAGATTGCATAATTTCAAGAAAATATCTGGATACATCCGGTATAACTCTCTAAAATGAAGAGGATTTTCCTTCAACACATTTTCGATGTAGTCTTGACCAGCTCTTGTGATCACGCGCCGAATGGGACGTTCAATTTGCAGTTGAAGTTCTCGTTGTTGCTTCTTCAAACACATTATCTGACAGAAAATTAAGAGTACCAATAAAGTAATATGGGCATCTAACTCTTCATCTTCATGTGACATATCTCTCTCTTTTTCATCTGAAGTTTCTTGTTGCTCAAAAAATACTGGATTCATGTTTGACAATGTGTACCTATGATAAAATATCTAGCACTAACGTGTTTGACAAGATGCTCTTGATTATTTGTTTGATAGTGCTGCTTTTATTTACTTTAAATATGTAACTAAATGTTAAAATAATGTAAATTATACATATTTAAATTTTACATTTAACAAAAAAGTATGTAAAATTTACATTTAAAAAAGCAACTGAAAATATGTAAGTTTTACATTAACAAAAAGTAAAAAATATATATATATATATATATATATATATATATGCGTTAAAAGGAAAACACATGAAAAAAGAAAAGTTGACATAAATCATTACGTGCTTTATACATTTACTTATTAGAAACTTACTAGTCTTAACCCACGTTGTTATATGCACCATCTTATATATTAAAACAGAAGTCACTATTTCACTTTATGTGTGATTTTTTAGTTTGGACCATATTTATAAATTTTACATATGTTAATTATGATATCTTTTCATATCTTATTTTTATTGGAAATGTAAATAAATATTTGGAAAAAGATTCTAACAAAATCTTTTAGAAATATATTTCGAAAATCAGTTATTTCAAATTTTAATTATGATCAAATAATTAAAAATCTTATGCATTTTTAATCTATAAGCAAAAATAAAAAATAATGTAAAATAGTTCTAACAGTATCCAAAAATTTGTTTTCTCTATTATGTAGGTCCAAGTTAATTTAATTTTCACATATATTTCAAATTTATAAATAAAACAAAAAAGTAAATTAAAAAAATACTAATTTATAAATCACACAAACATTATTATTATAAAATTAGATAATATATAAGATCTAATTTTATTAACTTATTGATAAATTTTATCATATAACCTACAAAATTTTAATGTTTAAAAATATTATTATGCCTCAATATATATTTAGTTATTGTTTAAAATGAAAAAGAAAAACAATTATCATATTTTATTTATCTTATAATCATAATTTATCATATTAACATAATTATTATAATGAACTAAATATGATAAAACTAAATTAAAATGATATATAAATATATTTTATTTTCATAAATAGAAATATTTATGTTAAAATAATATATTATGTTGTCAAAGCGGGCTAACATACTATGTATTACATGTATACAAATTAATATATCTTAAATTATATATATACAACAATATATCATCTAAAATTAATATACATAAATAAATAACCATTTGGTTGACAAAACAAAAGAAAAATTAATAAANGGCTAACATACTATGTATTACATGTATACAAATTAATATATCTTAAATTATATATATACAACAATATATCATCTAAAATTAATATACATAAATAAATAACCATTTGGTTGACAAAACAAAAGAAAAATTAATAAATGTTTAAATATATGATTAATATTAAAAATATATATACACATAATAATATAAACAAATATATATATATGAAATTTAAACCCCGCTCGGTTGAGCGGGTCAAAATCTAATACATTTTAAAACATTATACATACCACTTACGCACTTATATTCATAAAAGAAATGTTGCAACCCACTTATATATATATAAATTCCGAAACTGTAGAAATAAATAATAAAATAGCAACTTCATTATAACAATAACTAGATTTTGAACCCGCACATCCGTGCGGATAAGCTTTCATTTTTTAAATATAAAAATTTAATATATGTTAACAATTTTATTTTATGTAAACTTTATTAAATAATTTACAAATTTTTAATCTTCTTAAAAGGTAAATAATATTTTAGTCACTTAAATGGTGAATGATATTTTATTTATTTATTTATTTAAATGGTTTTTTAAAAAAAATATATTAGTTTACCAATTTAATATATTTTTTATATGTAATTCATTTATTATTTCTATTTTAATATAATATAGACTATACGTATAAAATTTATAAAATTGGCATATAGTATATTATATTTTGTTTATAATAAAATTTTAATTAAGATTAATGTTTAATAATATAATACTACTAATTACGAAATTAATCAGTGCATTAATTAAAAACTATTTAAATTTTGAAAAGATTTTGTTAGATTTTTTATCAACAGATATTGTGATTTCTAAACTAAAATTTAAAATTACAGCTAAAATTGATTTGTTATTAATATCTTTATAATTATTTTAAAATATTATACATTAAATAAAGTAATGTAAATAATCAAAACAGTGTAACTAAATATATGGACTTGGTATGACTATTTTATAGTAGATAAAAATGGTAGTTCGTTTTTAATAGAGAAGATGGTTAAAGATATCCGCCGCATATTAAGGTGAGATTTTTATATAATAGTTTTAAATATATATTATATTTTGTTAGAATTGCTTAAGATATTTGATAAGATTTTTGATTTATCCTGAAGCAAAAGAAGTAATTAAAAGAATATTCTTGACATATTTTAGTAAAATCCATTAATTGAGGATAAGAATAACTTACGTATAAGTTATTATATAGCTATTATGGATTTGTATCTTGTTATGTTACTAATTTAATGGTCCTATGTAGACTTGTTTATGGTAGATAAAAACAATGACTCTATTTTAATAGAATAGATTGTAATCAAATGCATAAACACAAGCTATAATCGTAAAAAAAAAGCTTTTATACTATAAAACCAACACCAGTAGATAATAATAATAAATAAATAAAAACCCAACACCTAAATAATAAGTAATTCAACACCAGTAGCTTTTAAACGTGTATTCTCTGTGTTTTCCTTTTAACTCACACAGACATGTCGTCAAAAAAAGTCACGTTGGCAAGTATGTCATATCTTTTGTTTATAGTTATTAGGGGAACATGTTCAATACCTACGTGAAATATTGGTCAGAAAAAAATATTCACAGATTTATCAAAATAACAAAGTTCAACTCAATATTTGCTCCTTTGTATTTTTAACTTAAAATCACTCATAAATCTAATCTAATCCATTTCTAAATCAAATCCTTAAGAAAATCATTATTATTGAATAACACCTGATTTTAAAATCTATTTTAAAATTATAAAACCAATAACAGTGAATTTGAATATAGATTTAAAAATCATAGAACCAATAACAGTGAATTTGAATATAGATTTTAAAATCATAGAACCAATAACACTAGATTTGATTTATATTTTAAAATCCATTGAAATACACAAACCAATAACACAATTTAGAAAATATTTTAGGAATATAATTTTTGTGATTTTTAATTTGCTCACCAGCCCTAGGCGAGCTTAACCCTAGTTATATAGTAATTGGTAGTCAGAAAAAAATACCTAAGTTATTCCTCCATGTCTCAAATAAGAAAATAAAATAGGAACTTTTGCAAAAAAATCTGAGATCTCTAAAATAAAGCAATAATACCTAACAAATAACAATACAACATATAGATAGGAAGAGCTTAAATTCAGATCACAAGTTCAGCTTCTGTAAATGTGAGTCAAGAGTTTGTCACAAAAGACCACCATCATCATCGCCTTTCTTGGATGGTTTCTCCGACTCATGTTTGGTTTGGTGCCAAAACTTTAAAACGCCATCCGTCCGGCGAGCCTACTCTCTGAGATACGTCTGTCTATGGCTGCATTTATCGAGTTCATCTGCAACAATTTCAAAAACAGCAAACGGCGGTTCTGAGTAAAGAAAAAGTTGGATTGCTTTTTATACAAAAGGCTACTAAGAGTTCTTTTTCTTATTCCTCGAGACTGATTGTACAAAGCTACCAAACTTTGCAACCTTGAATAAAAATAAAAGAAGCTGACCTGGTTTGAAACCAAACCTGCTTGAGTATAAGATCTCGTGGAACCAATCACACCAGTTTTTTTTAATACAATGCAAGAGCAAATAGGATACATAATGAAAAACGAGCAGATACAACACTCAAGTTTCCCCTAACTACTTTTTGCAAGTACTTCGCAAGCTACACGAGTCTATGTCCTCTCATATTCTAAGGTAACAAACTATTAACTGAAACTAAAAAGGTACCTCTTAGAACAGAAACGATAGGCTCTGGAGTTAAAAAAAGCATCAATAAAGACTATCGAATGGGTTAGACGTGTAAAGCAAACTCTCCCTCAAACTTTAAATCAGAACTTACCTGGCTAGTTTCATCATGGACTTTGTATTTCGGTAAGGACATTCTTCTTTCCTCCTGCATATACACACACATCAAGTCAGATTAGATAACCAAATGATGTATTAAGGACACCACCAATACGATGTGTGTAGGAAAGGAAGGAAACTAACCATAGACATGGCTTCATCATCCCATACAAGATAGACCTCATTAGGCTGAGAGCTAGTAGGAGCTTTATTTGCAATCACAGGAGGTGGACCAATGGAAGGACCACTAGTGTTTGGACCAGATGCATACGAATGAGAATTAGTTCCACCCACTGCAACACAACACAACACAAAAGAGGGATTAGAAAAACAGCAGAGCAGAGTCAAATGCAAGGAACTTATTCTAAGAACACAGACTGAACCTGGAAAAGAGTTGTTAGGCGGATATGCATTGGATGATCCTATGGTGGCATCGGTATTAGGCGGCTGCTGAGCCCCACCAACGGGAAGGGGAGCAGAAAACTGAGAAGGAGTGCTGTTACTCACAACAGGAAACAGAGGTTGAGCAACCGGCATAGCGGGAGAAGTTGGTTGAATCCCAGGAGGAGTGACTCCATTGACAACAGAAGATGATGTTGGCATATTCATCCCCATACCATGAACAGGAAAGAGTTGTGGTGGTCGATACCCTAAATGGGCAGGTGGAGGAACAGAGCCTGGTGGATTTTGTGGATACCATTGCTGTGGACGGGGAGGAGGCATAGGCCATCCAGGAGCAGGAGGACGCATAGGAGGACCAGGATAGTACCTGTTGCCACACAAAAATTTAACATACGGAAGCATCCCAAACAAAGACAACATCTGATTATAGTGTACATACATTGGTCGCGGAGGCACAGGACCAGGCACTTGATGGGGCTGATATACCATTCCATATGGTCTAGGAACTGCAGCACCAAGAGGGACCGAAGGAATTTCAATTTTTGCAACTTTGGCTGGACCCTCTTCCTCTGCAGAAAACATAACGTTAGTTCCAAAAAGGTATCACCATATGCGATAATGTAAAACAATCTTTACTCCTTACCTTCTTCTCCGTAGTGAGCAGCCAAGACATCAGGTGGGATTCCTTGCATTCCATATATCTCAATATCAATTGAATCTCGACCTTCTTTCGAATTAGGAACCCTTGTAGAAGTAATTAAAACAATGTCATGGAAACAGAAGACGTAGAAACTATAGAATCATACAAAATCCAGCCGTGACAAGAACTCAACCAAAGTAAGCAGAGAAATAAAAATCAAAACTTTAAACTTCCTTATCAATCAAAAAGAGTGTTCTTTTCCAATAATATCATTCATACAGAGAAGTACACATTAGGGCTCATGATCAGACTTGTATCGAATCAACCAAACCCTAGAAGGAGCTAACGCAATAAAGATTCGATTTTTCGAAGTTCACATGCACATCAAACCATAAAAGAAAAAAAAAAAAAGATAAAACAGAAATCGTACTTTGTAACATTCTCTTTATGAACCTGGAGGACATGGATGACCATGCCGCTAGCTGTGGAGAGCTTCTTGTGGCAGACATGGCACTTGAAGTGTTTGGCTTTCTGGTGCTGGACAAGAATCTTCTCGTCGTCGAACTCTCTGTCGCAGTAATAGCACCACACCTTCTCCGTAGCTCTCTTCTTCTTCTTCCCCATCACTCAAAAACCTCTTCTCCTCTGTCTTTATTGAATAATCTCAGAATCCAATTGAAATCTGCCCTCTGTACTTTCTCGGTCTTTTATCTCCTCCCCTTCCTTCCTTCCTTCCGCTCGTTAGGGTTTTCTATTCGGACAAAGGCGATTTCTTGATTTCTTTTGCGATCTCACAGATTCTCTCTCTGTCTTATGTTAACCCCTTCTTTTTTTTTTATCTTCCGTTACCCTCTTTGTTGTATTTATAGAAAAGGATCTTTCTCTATGTAATTTAGCGTAAAATCCATATACTTTGAAAATTGCATAGTTGCCCCATATATGACATACCTCTATAATCTTTTTTTTTTTTTTTTAAAACACCAAATGCTTTTACTAATTTTAAAAGAGTACTAGATTTTGACCCGCCCTTATAGAGGGCGGGACAACCTTTTTTGCTTTAAATTTATGCCCTTGTTAGATTATTCACAAGTATGTATAGGTATGAGTATACGGGTTCAGATTGATGGTCGATAAGAATTATTTTATCGATCCAACAATATAAATCCAAGATTTTGACCTGCGCTTTGAAAGCGCGGGATAAGTTTTTGGTTTATTTTTCCAATTTAGGAATTACTATAATTTTTTTTTGAATTTTAATATTTTAGTTCTAACATCTATAATTAAAAGTAATTTATATTGTCTTCTCATAATGCTAGACATTCAGGTTTTATTTCAGGTCTTTTCGGGTTATTCAGTTTTCGAATTATTCGGGTTGGGTGTTTAGGACCGTTGCAATCTTTTGATCGGTTTAGTTCAAGTAATGTTGGATTGGGTTTGCATTTATATTTTTTCAAAGTTATTCAATTGGGGTGTTTAAGACCCGTGTAAAAATCAGATATTTTCCGGAGTAGTTCAGTTCGAGTAATGTTAGATTCGGTTTGCATTTTTTTGGTAAAACCCGAAATGAACCGGATTAGAAATAGTTTAAGTTATGTTTAAAGCTATAAATCTCAAAAAACTTTTAAAAACCGAATTAAACCCAAAAATCCAAAAATGGTAGTTTAGGTAATTAAGGGTTTTGCATATTTTAATTTATAAATTATATTATGATAATTAATATTTTATTATATTTCAAATATTTGGATACCTGTTCGGTTCTCGGTTTGGTTCTGGATTTTAGNATAAAATTAAATAGTAGTTGTCAAAAAAATGACACCATTGTAAATGCTTAGCAAATCAAATAATGTAACCCGTTTTTCATTGATCAAAGTTCATTTTTAATTTTATAGTTGAATAGGTTAAACCCTTCTTCATTCCATATCTTGATGAACTACTTTGCTTACTTGATTAAAAATGATAGAAACTATAGTCGTAAAATATCAACTGTAACCCGAACATTTATAGAACAAATGATATAGGTATTATTGTTTTAATTTTACCAACTTAAATACATATTACTAATTTTTGATATCTTAACTTAATATTTTAATTAATAAATAAAACTAATGAATATCCAATGAATATTCATTTTTATAATATTCAATTTTAAAAAAACTAAGGTATGAAATCAATTTCAGAAAACGGTAAATATATTTAGAACATATGAGAAAATAGAGGATTGATTAGACGTTATAATGTTGTAACTTACTGATGATATTATAATTTTACAGACCTAAAATTTTGGACATCTGAAAAAGATATATTAGCAAGATAAGTGTTTTTCCAGTTATCCCAAACAAACTCAAAATAATATAGAAAACGTCCGATAAATTTGTGTAACAATTTTATATAAGTAAAAAATTATTTTTCTGTACTTTATTTGTTAAATTTTCGGATTGTATTTATATCACAGATCCATAATATTTTTGAAATCACATTAAATATATATATATATATATATATATATATATATATATATATATATCATTAACAATGTATCAATACTATTAAAACAAAAGTACAATTCATAGTTAACCCTAAGACTTAAAATTTATTTACACATCTATGCCACTTAAGTTATAACTAAGACTAAATTTAAGCAATTATAGTTTTTTTTTCCTAATTTGACAAATAATTTCCTAATTTGACAAATAATTTAAGGCACAATCAGTTTAGTTTAATTATTTACAAACATATATAATAACATCAAAATTTCATGTCGAGAAATAAAACATTATTATAAGTTGTTTTCATACATCTTGCCCACTATAACTTTCGGATACACAAATTCATAAACAACAAATGTAAACCAACTCTATTAAAACAGAATCAATATTTATCTACTCACAAGTTGTCTAGGTTAGACATTTCATTTATTTAATTTTTATTATTTTGAATACACAAAACTTATTTATTATTAAATAAACACAGAATCTTAACACAATATTTAATTAAGTCCAAAACTGATATCAAAAAGATATTCTTAACTGTTTTTTTCTAAGATTACACTTAACAATATCTTTTTAAATATAAATATTTATTAGTTTAATCTTATTTTAACAATAAAAATAATATTTAATTTAATTACAAATAACTATTAACTCATTTTGATTCATAAAATAAGAAATAAATTTCTATATATAAATATCTCATATTGTAATTAAAATTACACTAAATAATACTATCAAATAGCATAGCTATAAATTTTTTTTTTAAAAGAAAGGCAGATAAAACCTTTGATATATATATTAATTTCTATAGCCACGTAGGAAATATATATTTAATTTAATTATACATGATAAATTATCTAAAGAAGTGGAAAATGTTTAGATGGTTATATCTGATTTACTAAAAAATAAAAGTATTTACATAAAATCATAGCTTAAAAATAATTTAGTGTCATAGAGTTGTAAAAAAAAATCCAAGCTTTGTTAAGATCTTGACTTTAGAATTCAAAAAAAATCTTTAGTTAGTTATAGTTAAAGAAGAAAGAATTTTAAAATAATTTAATGTTGCATTAAAAAGAAATTTGGAAAATACAGAATTGATATAGACATTGATTGGCGTTTAATACATTGCGACTTCTTGAGAGCTACTCTAGTTTTATAATATACATAACTCGGAACTTTTTGTAACTATGAAGTAAGTTTTTTACCTTTTCATCGACACAATGGGTATGTACAGAAAGACAGAACTTGATGTTCTCCGCTCTAGCTCCTGGTGTTGATTTTAGTTTCTCCATTAATTGTTTAAAAACCTTTAAAATATTTTAAATTAAATGATTAGTCATGTTTTGTAGAAAAAGGTAAATGATCAATCATGTAAATACAGATAGAAGAACAAAGCAAACAAACTTTTGTTTACCTCATCGATGATGGGAAGTAAGTCGTCAGCTGGTTGATAAAGAACATAGGATAGTAATAAGTTATTTTGTACCAAGAGATAACTTTTGTTGGACGTTTAATATCCATTCCATGGATTCCAGCATAAAACAGTTCTGCTAGCTTCACAAAACTATAAACCTGTATAAATATTTTGCGTATAGTTAATCAACTAAAATTTGATCATTAAAATATAATCATTCAAAATAATAGATGAAAATATTATAAATACCTTGTATATGCATCTACCAGAGTAACTATAGAAGTAGGAAAACACTTGGGCCAGGTTTGTCACCGTTCTTGTCATCTGAGAAGCACATAACATTAGCTATAGAAGAGAAAACAATAAAGGTTGGAGAAGTTGGATCCTAAAGAATCTTGCTGGATATGAAAGCTGAGATATATATTGTAACAAAGATATAAATTATTAATAAGTCAGTGATGTTTAGCAGTTTAACAAAGGCATGAAATGTTGAATATTTTTTGACTAAATATTTTACCTTCTTGACCGAGAAAATGATTTCCAATGTATCACCAAATTGTTGATTGAATTGTTTCCAGGTGTGAACAACTTTCACATGGATCCACCAGTTTGTTTTGAAAGGCTTCACCTCGTAGAGGCATGATAACTGCTTTGTAGGCTTCATGTTTTTTGTATAACATATTTTGTGTTCGATATCAGCTCTGCCAATTAAGGTGTATATATAGCACTGGATAATAATGTTAAACAGGTCACAGGAGTATTCAGTAATATTTTCTTTGCAAATCGAGTTTAGAAACTAACTAATATAAATCGCTTTAGTATATTGCATTTATTAGTTTGTTATGTAAAATTATATGAATAGTTTGATCGGTATCTCTTGGAAAGATGTCTTTTGTGCATAGGTTGTCAAACAAAATTAAAACTCAGTTCTTGCTGATTTTGTTAATATACTGAGCCCAAATAGGGATTCAGAAATCAAATGGAAATCTAGTGGATAAACTTTACAGCAATGAATAGAATATACTTCGAATGATCCATATATTTAAAGCAATGTTGTGAGAATAAAAAACATAGAATAATAAAGATAACTAAAAATCATAGCTTAAAAATAATTCAGTGGCAAAGAGTTGTAAATATTGTTGAAACAGAAGGGTACCTGAAAAAAGAGCCTTGTGTTTTAATAGTATAGATTTGCATCCCATATACAAACTAAACCCCTAAATTAACTATCTACCCTTTTTCTCTCTTATCTCTCCTCCCCCCTCTCATTATTTTTCCCCCAAAACCATGGCATATTCCTAATATCCAACTTCTTTATAGATTATAGGCCAATTCACCCATTTTAAAACCCAAAAGGTTGGGTGGGATACAATCAAAGTTAAACTTGACGGCTGGACCGCTTTAAATTTTTAATGGACCCGAGGGAAAAATTTGAAAGAGTATTAGATTTTGACCCGCGCTTGAAAAAGCGCAGAAATTTTTTATGATTACAAATTTATGTAATTGGGTTTTGTATTAATTTAAAGAATGTTTTGGGATAAAATCAGTTCACCAAAATTTGTGGTGATGATTGTTATTCATTAGTTTTTAGTTTCAGTTTTTATTTTTAGATTTAGGTTTTGGGTTTTTAGTTTTTAAGTTTTTATTTTTAATTTTCAGCTTTTGGTTTGGGTTTTTAATTTTTAGACACGCTGAGTTAGTTTGAACTGATATTACTAACAAACAAATCCCACATAATCGAACATCTAATTTAAAACTGAAAAGATAACAAAAAAATTTTAAAAGAAATTTGCAATAGTTTATTTTGTAAATAAATAAAAGCAAAAAAATATAACCTGTTTTTGAGTTTTTGGTTTTGGATTTTAGTTTTTAGATTTGGTTTTTGGTTTTGCTTTACATTTTTTT